TGTTTCGGAGACTGACCCAGGACGAGTCGGAGTCCAGAGAGGCCTGCATCGATCAAGACGGCGAACTCGGACACTACAAGTGTACCGGATTGTCGGGTCCAGGCCGACTCGGCGAGATTAAGTGTCTTTCAGGTTGGCAGGGTCGAAACTGCCTGAAAGCGGTTTGCGATAATGGGTGCGGAAACAACGGATTTTGCGTGTCGCCTGGATGCTGCATTTGCCTAAAAGGCTGGAGCGGAAAATTGTGCTCTACATTCTCCCGCCATCCGGGCTTCCAGAACTCTTCTGAACCGAGTGGTACCAACTGTGGTTGGAGGGGCGGTCAAGGAGGATTTAGTTTTATGTCGCAAGAGTCGATCCTGACAAAACCGAGTGTTGATGCCTCCGTACAAGAAGATGCTGATGCATCTGAAATACGAACCTTATTTACCACCTCAGTTGAGGTTCAGTTGGAAGACGATTGGCGCACCGAGTCGAGAGCCAGCATCTACTACCTTGAGACAAATCCGGCTGCAGCCACCCAGAATGAATATGTTATCGATGTGTTCCACTTAAAGGGCGCAGACGACTATCAGAACTCCGTGCGAAGCCAGAACAACTCGACACTAGGTCTTCGCTTTTCTACAGACGCCTCTTCGCCGAGTCAACCGATCCGTCTGCGTCTGGAACCGCCGGCCCCGGACAACAATCCCGACACCATCACGGCCGCCAGTCCTACAGAAGGTCAAAATGGCTCTATACACTCGTATTGCTTTGTTAGAATATCCGATTCTGCCCTCAAGGGTATGGAAGATGAGAACAACAAAGTGTTCGATTTGACCATGTATCTCGACCTGATAAAAGATTACGCCAGTTCGCCCTACACTTCTGTTCATGTCAATTCTGTCAGGGATGCCTTTCAATGGGTAGGACTTACTGCCAAGCCAATGCATACTTACCCTTTACTTCATCGAACTAGAGCCTGTCCAATCTACGCTCTATCGAGACAACGTCCCTATACTTCTGCCACGATGATGGAGAAAAACATAAATTTACTTGACATCAGGAAACAGCTAACTCTTCGTATCTTTTTTCCCGAGATCTGGCTCTTCGATGCACAACCGATGAAAACCTATTCAGGACACGAAATCTCGAATAGAAGCTGGCAGGGCCTTGAGTACAATCTGACAACTCCTGATTCTCTCACTGCTTGGGTGGCTAGTGCCTACTGTCTGACGAGAACTCGGGGCTTATGGATTGCCAATTCCAGTGAACTCTTAGTAACTTTGCCCTTTTCCCTCGACATTCGCATACCAAAAGAGGTGAAGCGTTATGAGACTGTTCGTCTGCCAGTGAATCTGGCAATGCGGACAATCAGGCCAGTGGGATCGAAACAGGACAAGCTCTGTCTTGCCGTGAAAGTCAGCATTCAAGAACATCCAACCTTTAGGCTCGAGTCGTCGCCCATCAACATCCAATGCCTCTGCGAAGGAGAGACGAAAATGCTCCACTTCAACGTGAAGCCGATTAGGCTTGGAAAGATGCCCGTCATTGTCAAGGCAATTGGTCAGAGCGACTCTATCATTTGCTCGAAAGGCTTCAATCTGACTGTTGACAAATACTTTGTC